TCTGGACGATAATAAATATCCAAATAACGCATGTATCTTTACAATTCGTAGATGATGAGGAAACACGGCAATAACGCACGCGAGTCAAACACATGTAACTCAGTACCATTTTCAACACTTACTGAGTCGTACCCAACTCGATTATCTACCAACGAGCCAAATCCGAGTTGCTCATAAACCCGACCCGCTATGACCCGGCAAACCAGCATAGCCCACCTCCCTCTTCCTCTTCCACCGCCGGCTTTTTCATGAGCAACTCCACTACCCGAATATGTACAAACAGCCGCACCAGCTTTGCTACCACCATAGTTGGCCCACGCGCCGCACCCAACCTCGTACGCGCCGCCGCTGCTTGATGTGACTCTGAGGCAGTAGAATCTCATGACCTCATTCCCGTCAGCTACACACCGCGCGTGGTCCTGAACGCCGTCCACTGTGTCGGCGGAGATCACCCATCTGGATTTGACCCGTTCCCGGTACTCCTCGAACCGGGTCAGGGTCCGGGTCAGATTATGGATCTTAAACACCATTTCAACATGACCCGAGAAACTTTTCTCCCCCCAGCTGGTGTGAAAGATTATCTCCACCACATTACGCGAAGGGTGTCCTTGAGGAAGCTCCGTGAGCGAAGGAAACAAGGAACCGGCGCTGCTGGACCGGGTTCGGATCGTTGGCAGCTGGTGCGGGTCAGGTTCGTTTTTTTTTGAATCAGGTCGTTTAAACGGCGGCGTTTGTGGCCGTTTGGGTTTTGATGGTATGGTGGTTTGAACTACATCTTTGAGACTCTGAACGCGGTTTTTGCAGCTGGATAATAATAATAATGAATGGTTATGGTCAACGACGACGTCGTCCAATGCTTTTGACTTGCATTGCATTGACTTCATCCATCTTCTCGCCATTTTTTTCTAAAGACCCTTCAAACAGCTTCTAGACCGCTCTCTCTCTCTCTTTATCTGTTTATTCACTTTCTCTCTCAAGACTCAATATATACGTATTTAGACGTATCTATGCTCGTAAATGCGTATGAATATATGATTTAATGTGAGCTGATACTCATTAACGTTGTGTGTTTATTGTGTGCGTGTGTGAGTGTGTGAGAGAGAGAGAGAGTCTTGAGCTGGAAAAGAAGAAATGGAGAAGACATGGCATGGCGCGAAAATAAGATAGTAGAACGAGGTTATTACTAAAATACCCCTTACAGGACATGAGAATTACACACGTGGAAACAAAATCCCCAATCCATTAATTAATACGCACTGGAAGTAGAAGATTTCATTAATGATTATGAGTGGGGGGGGAATGGAAAAGGTTTGAGAAGAAGCTTAATTATGAGTTTGGTTTTTAATTAGATCATTGTTTCTGGTGGGTTTTTTTATGATTGTATTTTTTTCAATTAATGTTCTTGTATTTTTTTAACGGAAAATGACTAGACACCCCTTATTTTGGACATATATAGGTAGAGGTCTATTGTATTAGATGAATACAGATGTAGATCTTTTGACTAATAAAATAAAATAAAATTATTAGTTTATAGACATAAATAACCCTTAATTAATATTTATATGTAAATAGTTATTTTGGAAATTGAGGGAACAAATCTCACAAATCTCTAATTCTCTCACGCGCACACACACGGTATCTACTTCTCTCCCCCCATCCTTACGCCCCCACCCCACACATCAGACGCCTTTTTTCTCCATTTATCTTGTCTCGTAGTTCTTTCTCTCTCAAGCATCTAGTTTTTGTGAAATTTAATTTTTCATTTCTTGTTAAAAAAATAATTTTATTTCCATATATTTTGAATATTAATTGTTATTTGGTATGTTTTCGACAGTATTGCATTGTTTTTAATGATTTGTATTTTCTAACTGGTTTTACTTCAATGAATCATAAAAAAATAACAAACCAAAAAGAAATTGCAATATATAATATAAAACTGCAAATTGCTATCTATAACTTAAAATTACACAAACAATAAACATCAAAGAAAAGAATAAACATCAAATAGTAAACGGTAAACACAAACAATAAACAACAAATAATAAACAACACTGCCCTTAGTGTATTTTTTACTCGAGCAATATGAAATAGTTTTAAAACACGAAATACAAAATAAAAGATGTTATAACAGACACCAAAAACATAATTTTTGTCTAGTAGCAAATTAGTACGTTAAGTACAAAATACTTCAACATACAACTTCGTCGAACACATTTAATGTGGTGTTCTTCGAATTTATGTCGGTTGAAGATGTGAACAAGTGAAACGAGGTTTGAGTGAATATTGTGCGATTGAGGATCTTCTGTAATAACTTGTTCTGTAAGGACTTTATTTGCAGTCTGATTTGCTCTTATTTTCCCCCTTCGGAAGATGTTGAAGAGTCATTTAATATCTTGTTCCTTTTTTTCGTTCATGTAGCTGTTTGAGCACACACAAAATAAAACTAAATAAGACTTTCAATTGCAAAAATAA